AACGTTCTATTTAGTTTAGGCGAGACTACTCTTACAGTAACTCTAGGAACTATTGTTATACTAAACGAGCCATCTCCCCCGTATATCACTAAGCTCACTGAGCTATACGGGCTTAAGTCTCTTACATCTTATTCCGTAACTCTAATCTTTTCCGTTCAATACTCTAGTACTCTAACTTAGAGTACTAACCATCGTATTTTATATTCTTTTTTAGATACTCGGAATAGCGGGAGACTCTATGTTTCATTATATAGACCGAGTTAGAGCGAGTGTAATTCGAATAAGATGCTATAGCGCGATAACCAGTGAATCGAACGTTACGAGACTAACGAAGACGTTCAAAGAAACGATCGCGGCTACGGGAAAGAAGCTTAGAAACTATAGCTAAAGAAAGAGAAAGAGAAGAAGAAGATATCTTCGGACCTAAATGAATTTAAGTTAGATAGTATTCCGCTTTTATATTATCGCCAAGATAAATCCTTAGAATAAGAATCTAACCGGAGGAAGGATAGTGTTAGACACAGCCTTAAAAGGGACCGGCCGAGGGCTGCACGGGCGCGGCTCTCTACACTCATTAGCCAAATGGAAGGGTCTGCAAGAGAGCAAGGCTAAGTCACGTAATATGCCCTACTAGCCCTATTAGCTCTGCTGACCCTATTGGGGCAGAGCGCACAGAGCGCACAGAGCGCACAGAGTATAAGCATTATATATACCCTCGTTTCCCCCCCTAGATAGCTTACACTCTCTTCGTAGCTAACTCATATTAACTATTGGACTTATAGTTCTTAGTGACAAGTGACTTCTCATACCTTGCGTTCTTCCCAACCAGTTCATACTATTAGGATTGTTACTAGGAACCCTAACCCAGTTAGGCCCCGGTAGGAACCTTAACATATTATTAAATTCGTTTACACTAACGTCCTTAAATTAATAGTAGTAAGTAGCGATTCGGAGATAAGATATCATTAATATTAGTCTATAAGTAATCTAAGCTCCCTTATAAAGACTTAATATAATAATCGAAACGTAACTTATTTATAGTTTTAGAGATATTACTCTTAGTACGGCTATAGTATTAAATATTTAGATATCGTATCCTCGTTATTTCTTAATTTAAAAACCACTACGAGAAATACTAGTATTATATCGTAAAGAAGGAATCGACGTAATCGAATAGATTAAATAAGCCATTTAAATAGTTAAAAGAATATAATAGTTAAGTGAAAAGTTTATATTAAAAATCGCTAATTATATTAAAGACGATTTAGAATTAGAGATAGTATTTAAAAATAAAGTAATTAAGAATAAGAAAACTAAAAGATTTTAAGTATTAATTAAAGAAGCGATTAATAATCGAAATAAGTATAATAAAATTAAAAGAAGATTTATTAAAGATATTAATTATATTAAAAGTTAAAATATAGCTTTATTTTTAAAGAATACAAGCGGTAGAAATACGATTAGCCGAAAGTTTAGATAATAAATAATTAAAGATTTTTAGAAAGATATTATAATATAGTAGCTAAGTAATATAGCGTATATACTAAAGAAGCTCTAATATATAAGAATAGCGCCTAAGCTACGGGATAAAATATTTATAAATGTATTACGTCGAATTAATTATTAAATAATAAAGCGACTAGCCGGTTTTACGGATATAAAGTTTTCTTAGTTAGTATCGTAACGAATCGATATCTTTACGATATAGTCGAATCTAGATAATTTTAGAAACGCTATAAATAATTATAGATATCTATAAGTTATAGCTACGCGTTTAGAATATTATCTTTAGTTAAAGAATAGATTACACTAGCTAAATAGTATAGAGCCATTAAATATATATAATTTAATTCTCATCGAGAATCTTCTAGAGATACCGATTAGCTAAATTAGTTAGATCGAATAAAATCTTATTATAAGAAAGAAACTAATTATAAAACCACTTACTAAGAAATTTATAGAGAAGAGATTTAGTAAGATATTAGCGAAAGACGAGATCGAGAATTAATTAAAGAACTCTTAAGAATAAGCGATAAAATCTTCGTCTTTATCGACCGTATCTAAGAAATAACTAAAAGAAGAGTAGAGATATTAAAAGCGAAATATTTTAAATTACTTTAAGAATAAGTTTATAATGAAAAAGCTTACTAAAATTAAAGAAAGAGAAGTCGTAATTAAGAAAGCGACTAAAAAGTAATTAGAAATTCGAAATAAATATATTAAAATAGTAATTTAGTCTAGAAAGAGATCGCGATTAATATCGTTAGTTCTAAGAATATCTTTAGAGATAGAAGTAAGAGCTTCTAAGCGAATACACTTCTCGTTTACTAAATAAGCGTTTATAGAAGCTAAAGAAATTATTACTAATAGTAAATATCTTCGTAGAGAGTTTTAAGAGTTATCTTCGCTCTTTAATACGAGACTATATAAATAAAATTTATTAAGAAATTCTTTTAATATAGAAAGATTAATATAGAAGATTATTATAAACTAATCTAAGAGAGTTAGATATAATATAGATAAAGATACTTTAACGAAACGATAAGCGAATAAAGTAATTTAGTACGGATTTAAAGCTATTATATAAGTATTCTAAAGATTAATCGAGATATTATCGATTAATATTAGTTTAAGATAATCTCTTTAGTATTACACTACTCTTAAAGTAATTTAAATTATAAAAAGAGTAAAGACTAAAAAAGAGACGTTAGAAATTTAGTGAATTCGAGACGCTTTAAAGAAATTTAAAGAGTATAGTCGTAGAGTAAAGAAATATCTTCGCGGCGAAAATTACTACTTAAAAGAGTATATAATCGATAAGAAAAAATTAAAATACCTTTTACTTAGTGCGAATTATAACGATTAGTTATCTATAGATTACGTTATTAAAGATATCGCGGTCTATCGAAAGTACTAAGTAAAAGACGAATGAAATATAATCTATCTATATAACGTTCGAGAAATATTTACGTTTATAATCTAGCCGCGATCGTAGCGATAAGATAAGTTTATATAGAAGAAGCTAATTCTCTATCGAGAGATTAACTATTAGTGATTAATATACGTCGATCTCGATTCTCGAATCGTTTACGTTATAGATTCGATTAGAAAGCGCATAATAAAAGACTTAATAATTTCGATTATTTTAGAGTATCTTAACTCTTAAGTTCGAGTAAAGCTCAAAGACGATAGATAATTTATATTTTAGAATATTAATATTAATAAATAACTAAATAACTATAATTACAAAATATTTATTATTTTTTAAGCTAAAGCTCTTATAGAAAACGGTATTAAAGCTATTAAAGAAGTTAAAATCGATACTTTCTATTAAGTTTAACTTATTTAAAATATTCATTAAACTATTATTAAAAATAAAAAGATATTATTATTATAATTATCTCGCGTAAAAACTAGTAAGTAGTAACTATTAAAGTCTATTATAATAGCTACTCTAAATAAAAGTATTATTAATCTTATTAACTAAGAGAATACAAACTAAATATTATAAACTTATATCGATTTATATAGCGAAGAGAGAATAGATTTAGAATATAATAGTAATAACTCTTAGAATAGAATTCTAACGCGAAGAGTAAACTCTCTCTTTTCTCGCGTTACTTAGTTAGTTAAGAAAGGATTTTAAGAGCGAATCTTAGAATTACCGAGTAATATTAGTATAGAAATAGACTCGACTCTAAGATAGAGTAGTTATTAAAGCGAAATATTAAGAGCGTCTTCGGTGTCCTTATATAGACCGAGTAGATTTATTATATTTACTAGTAATATTTTAGTTCGTATTCTAAATCTAATAAGAGAGAAGAATCTACCTCTATTACGAGCTTCTTCTTATAGTACTGCGAATCTACTTTCTAAGTAATAATAGAGTTAGATAATTCTTAAGTATACTATATACTATCGAACGAGGTCATTCTATAAATAGAAGAGAGAGAGATATAATAAGGTAAGGTAACTATACTATGATGGGCCGTACTGAGCTAGTAAAGCGGTAGTAGAGAGAAAAAGTTATTTAGTTATATATTAAATCTAAATAGGCTAGTAGAAGAAGGTATAGAATAGTTTATAGTGCTGACAGTGAGCCATTTATTAAAGATTAAGTAGAGCATTATAAATTCCATGGTTTTTAGCGCCGTCTATCTAATTCCTAAGTGTTTTTTATCAGTTCTATCCTATTCGTCGATGCTCCCGCTATGCTAGGTGTTTGTAGCCCTAGCCGCTGCCTCTCTGGGTAATATTAGTGGTGTTGTCTTGTCAGTATCAACCAGAAACGCGTTCTCGATTCCCGATCTGCTGGATAGGCCTCTGTGCGTTGTTACACGTGCACGCCAAACTCTGAAGTGCTCTATTACAATATAATTATACTAGTCGTTTAAACTAATACTAACTAAGATTATACTATACTAGAATATATATAAAATATAAGCTTTCGAACTAAATCTTAAATTATTAGCTTAATAGCGTTAATATTCACTAAGTTAAAGAGTTAGCGAGTTATTCGCTTTTAGCGTAAACCTTATTTCTAAAATAGAAAAGATCTTTTTAAATTTAATAATATTACGTAATAAGTATATTATAAAAGTTACTAAAAATAGATAGTCTATAAGAGCTCATAGCCTAGATATAAGAGCTATAAGCGACGGTGAGCTCCCTGGGGCCCCTGGGTGTATAAGAATGCTGTGAGTCGCGGGAAAAATTGCTGATGAGGGCTACGATGGGAGAAATATAGAAGGACTGTGAGCACCGCTAAACCTGCTGTTATCTTCAGCGATAGGAGCTTACAAGGGTTCATTAACAGTTAGGTGTCCATCAAAATTGATCATTCACGCCTAAGAGCGGATCCTAAGCGACTGAGGGCTATGGTCCACGAAAATTAAAGCCTACATTGTCCTTGGGATGCGTGCGAACACCTTCATTTCATGCGACCTTTTCCGAAATTGCCAGGTCAAATAAATGGCTCGACTAGACGGAATGATGAAGTCATGCCACTGCCTTCCATCAAGCATGCTATAGGATCCTGGTATGTACGGAAGATACCTTTCTCATTTCCAGATGTGGATTCTGGTAAGCTCGGCTTGAATTCCGGCGCGCAAAGTTCGGACCAGCAATCCTGGCACATTTCCACATCTGTGACCCTGCTGGCAGACATTCCAATCATCGCGAGAGCACCAATCGACATCCCTCCGACTTTCGGCAGCGCCGTCGCCCCACGACAATACAGTCTAGTTCTCTGGGCCAAAATATCAGGCGCGAAGGTGAAAGACTTTAGGCTTGAGGTGCCCCTACAGATCGTGTATGACATGGAGAAAGGTCGGGACAAGTACAACTCTTACATGGCCAAATTGCTTCCCGGCCGTCGTGATTCGTCCATCCAACATTCTTCTCACGAAGTAAGTGAACTTTGGATCTAAGGATTCGGAGGGTCCGCATGGTCAATTTCTGATGCAAAGCAGCAGATTTCTTACGATATAATTCCGAGCTACGCGCAGGAACTTACCTTTCTCGGGTTAATCGACGCCCGATCGCGGTGATGAATTTGGCTACCAAGAAAGCCGGCCTCCACAGGGGGTTGATGAAAGAAGCGCTTACGATTATGCGCGGAACTATGGGCAGAACGACGCTAGGGAAGCGGCGTCCAGGTTGAGGCGTCTATAAACCTAGCTAAAATATCTTTTCTCTGTCTCTGCTAATGAAGGTATCTGCAATCATAAGCAAGCCGTTTATGGGCAGAACTTGGGCAAGCTTGATCCAGAAACTGCAGTTGCGCGGTTGTTGTCTTTACTCGCCGTTCTCATTTATCCTTCGTGATGATCGCTTCCTCAGTTTGTGAAACATCAATGCTCTCACTATCACCATGGTATTTTTCTGCCAGTTCTTCCAAAGTCTGACGCTTTGTCTCTGGAATTAGCAAGGTAGTGAAGATTCCACAAAGCATAAAGAGGGCGAAAATTTCCATGACATGATTCAACCACTTATTCGTGCCAGTCTTGTTCCTTAGGGGCCCAATTAAAGCCTGAGCGAGGACAGCACCGACCTTTCCCGCAGCGGCCGAGATACCATGCGCCGTGGACCGGAACCGTGTGGGATACACTTCGCCAGGGACTAGGAAAGTTAGCACTAAGCAATGAGATTTCTCTAATGGCCTCACCAATAAATGTTGTGGAATTCGCTCCAAAGTTGGAAAAGAATTGGCAAAGGACGTACAACCCCAGGAGCGTATGTGCCGACAACGAATGGTAGCCAAATCCGATCACACAGAACAATATTGTGAGGATGATGAAGCTCGCCATCTGAATGGGTTTGCGGCCAACTGTGTCGATAAGCGCAACCGACACCCAATATCCTGGGATGTTGCCGGCGACTGCCAGGATTAGATTGCCGACGGCCGTATTGTATAAGTTATCGTAGACGTTTTGGGAGCTGGCATACCCAATTGCACCAAGAATGGCGGAATTGTTTAAGCCTAGACCCCAGAAGGCAACGTCAATGAAGAACCATGATCCAGCCGTTCCAAGTAAAATCTTTCCATGCCGCCATTGCCGAAAATGTGAGAAGAATTCAGACCATGTTGCCTTTGGCGATTCGTTCCTTCTGCGAGTCTCCGCGACGTAGGTATGGCCTTCCTCCACTTTTCCCTGTCGCTTACCTCGAAGATATGCCTGAACATCAGCTCGCGCCTTTTCCACGTCTAAGGTGATATCTGAGGTATACCGTGGTGTTTCTGGGATTGTCAAGCGGAAGTACACTGCTAAAAGAGCTGGGACCGTGCCGAATGCAACAATACTGCGCCACATCTTATCGGCAGCGAGCTGGCATCGCTCATCGCACTGCGCCGCTGTGGCAGCTGGTAACAAGGCGTCCTTCGAGGCGACGACGCAAACAAAGGAGACCAACCCTGCCGCTAGGTTGCCAAACCCCTGCCTACCGCATCCAGTTAGTTCACTTCTCCTCCATAGCGATTGGAGTCCTCACATTGCAAACACCGCGTTCATTAACGCTCCACGCCATTTTACCGTTGCAAATTCAGAGGTGATCACAGATGAAAGAGGATAGTCACCTCCGACCCCAACACCCATAATAACCCTCCAGAATATCAACGGCCCTAAGAAGGAAACAGCAGGACCTTGGCCCGTTATTGTTTGACCGAATGTCCCAACCAACATAATGATCAATTCGAGACCGTACATTCTCTTCCTTCCCAACTTATCTGCGAGCCATCCAAAGATGACTTGACCAATTACTGCTCCTGCCGTTGTGGAAAGCTTGATGGAAGTATCCGCAGATGTGGGAATTTTGTGGCCTGAAAAATAGACCAATCCGATGATTGAAGTTATGAAGTTTGCGCTGAAAAGGTCATAGGCATCTGTAAAGAAGCCGGTGCCAGCCACAAGGACAGCTCGCAGATGGGAAAGGCCGACAGGTGCACTGTCTATCTCAGCCAACGACTTACGTCTCTGCTCGTAGACGCTTAACCCGAAAGCAGGAGAAATGTTGGGGGAGGTATTGAAGACTACTTCCTCAGGAGAGAGATTATGTGAACCCATGTTGAAGAATTGTTCTTGCTTTCACCGAAAACCTTGGAAATCTGGAAACAGGGGCATTTCAAGGTCGATGGTCAGATGCTAATATATATACTCGACATCAGCTAGAACGAGAAAATTTTGCTGAAGTGTCTCATTCAGTCTATGCCAATGGTATATGCACGTGGGTACAACCATAGACATCCATTTGTGTATTGATGTTGGCGGTCAAGGAGAAGCAAGTTCATCTCTGGGGATGGTTAACGCGTCTTTGGTGCATGTGACAGAAGTGTTCATTGCATGTAACGTAGGCACTAATTGAAGGATCAATCGGGACGAAAATGAACCATGCATTACCAACCCACTTATATTTGTGCTAAGCCGGTGGATGCTAATCTTATGGATGATCCTAATCATCACTTCCGCGCCTTGTAGCTATACCACAGAGAAATAAATATGTTTGGGAAGCAGAGCAGAGAGCCTCAGATTAGCAAGTATGGTGTCAGCCAGAAGACAACTATCTATTCCATTCCTTACTGACGCTGCGGTTTCATTCAGTGACTGATTGCCTTCCGCACATCTCATGAGCCTCAACAAGGAAACCGGTCACGCAGAACATTCCATCAAGCACACAAAAGCTTCAACTAGGTTCTTGGCGCCTTAGCCTGGTGGAGCTTCTCGCAGGTTCGCCGGAGACAGAAACCAATAAACAGCGAACACTTATAAAGGTATCTAACCCGAGTTGTATTTAGCGCAAAGCTCTGGAGAAAAATTTAGGGGCTAAGAGGCCTGTCCTCGCTTGACGTCGATTGTAGAAAGACATAAGTAATGACAGACTAGCAATAACCACATCGTGGCACCGGGCTCGTTGCACCGGAGCCCAGCCCACGATTTGTCATTGCTAGCAGTTGATTTGCTCCCTAAAGCAGCTCCTTTCTCTCGCCAGGTCGAAGACATGTCACTGGTTAGATAGGGACCACCTCCCAATGGCCCTTTTGTCTGATACGACACAGCTCGCTTTTGAACAGCGAGTCAGCATGTCTTCACAGCCAGGGTCGATTAGATGGAGGCGCTGACTGACCATTAACCATCGCAATCCGAATAGAATCCTTCGACACTGTGCTGTCCTCGCCTCCGATTGGTCTTAGTTACGTACGTGAGGATTCCACCTTTTAGGCAGAATTCCCCTTGAATTCTCCTGCCTTACAGACTCGTCAATTTTGCTATTTGACCATACGAAAGATTGCATAATGTGACCACAAAAAGACCCTACCATCATCGCATCTCTAGGATCAACATGCGTGTGAAATAAGTTATAGTCCTCTTCACTGGTCATTTCCTCTTAATATGAACAACACGAGAACGAAGGCTTTGCCTGCACTGGATGAGCCGAACCTAGCACCTCGATCTTCGATTACAGTGAACAGCCCCATCTTCTTCGATCCTAGGGGCTCTGAAAAGACAGCAAACATTAATGTTTAGAGCTCCTACGGTAGCTTGGTAAGGAAGTGAAACCTCTTAGCGACTTAGGGAGGCTAATGCTGGGACATTAATTAACAAAGGATACACTCTTAGGTCAACGCTTAGCCACGAAATTCATTCTGTAACGGGCTATCGAACGTCGTTTATTAAGTCGCACAGCGAAATCTCCTCTCTGAAGTTACCTAACGATAATGTACTTACTTTTTATAGCGCCATATTAAGGCTACTACCGTATTATCTAATAAAGTTACACTTAGTAATAGATTCTTTATAAATATAGATCTAAGAAAACCTAAGATATAAGTAGTCGTATTACTAAGAATAAGATAATTTAGTAAATAATATAGTAAGTTAGCTACGAAGAGAGTATAGCTATATACTTATAAAAATCTTTTAGATAAGATAATATAGAATATTATATAAGTCTATTAATCTATTCTATCATTAGCAATTTTTCCCGCGACTCACAGTATTCTTATATACCCAGGGAGCCCAGGGAGCCCACAGTCGCTCACAGCTCTTATATCTAGGCTATGAGCTCTTATAGACCATCTATTTTTAGTAACTTTTATAATATACTTATTATATAATATTATTAAATTTAAAAAGGTCTTTCCTATTTCGGAAATAAGGTTTATACTAAAAGCGGATAACTCGCTAAGTCTTTATCTTAGTGAATACTAACGCTATTAAGTTAATAATTTAAGATTTAGTTCGAAACCTTATATTTTTTATATATCTACTTTAATTTTTTATAAATAGTTTTAAGTAATATAAGTAATTAAGACACTTCGCGAAGATCTCGTCGCGTATAAAGATTTACGCCTAATTTTACACTAATAATATCGTAATAGTAAGTTTCGTAAACGCCTCAGTATATTACTTCGTTATTAAATCCGTTTATACTAACTGTCACGAGCCCACCGTTGTCCTCAAGTACTCTACGCCCTCCACCCGAATCGGGTGGACGGTATAGAAAGAAAAGGAAAGGATAAGGCAAAGGACGGTTGAGGCACAAGGCTATCGATTAACGCTACCTTACCCTTTTCACGTAATAGAAAGAGAGAAAGCTATAAGAGTCTCCTCTCACCTAAATCGGCTAAGAGAGAACTCTTCCTTTTTCTTAAGCGTTAAGTCGTTGTCAATAGAACTACGTAAATAGAATAAGATATTTAGCTACTCTAATTCCTTTATATCTACTACGTTACGTAGGTCTTTAATAATTCTCAACGCTTATCTATTACGTAGTGATACTATTAAGCTAGTAGTAGCTGTATGCGATTCTAGAGAGACCCCTAAAAATCATCCTTACTAAGATAAGTTTTTATCTAAATTAGATAAGAATAAACCCCTTATCGTCCCGAGATAATGAGGCGCTCGAGGTCTCGTCGAAGACCGTTAATGAAGACTCTACGATCACTACGGGCCCTATAGATCCGCGATACTTTATTTTTACGTCTACGAACGTAAGTAACCTCGAAGAAATAAATGATAAATAATTATAGACCGAACTATCTAGGCTTAAAAGAGAAAGAATACGATAAGAATAAATAAACCGAATTCATTATCTACGAAGAGAAGGTACTCTTAGTATAGAATAGAGATTAATATAAGAGACTATAGTATATTCTCGAAGTCTCCTATCTAAATCGAGTAAGAATAATAAGCGACTAGCTATAGATAATTTAGTTAACTACGCGAAAATCTTTAAGACGGACTCCCCGAAGTATTTTAATGAGGGTAGTTACTAGGTCTTAACTAAGTTTATTATAAATATCGAGATATATTTTGAGTTCTATTACTAAAATTTAATAGACTCTAAAATAGCTAAGCGAGCTATCTAAACGGCGATAATCTAGCTAGATAAAGAGCCTCGTTAAATATATTATAGATAATATAACGTACCCGCTAGTTAGAAGGAATTTCTTACGTTCCTTCGAGGCACTATTAAAGACTCTTAAACTCGTACTTTTAAGACTACTTATACTACTTAGTTTAGAAAGTAATGAAAAGAATAGAGTGTTCGTTAATACTTATATAAACTAAAGTAAGTAGAGATCGAGGTGAAGATATTAAGGCTTACGGAAGTCGAGTAAAAGATATAGCGTTTTCTTTACGATCTATAGCTTAATATTCGTAACGTAGTTATAGTAGAGCTATAGAAGATACGTCTTAATAGAGATACTATCTTTACGGCCGCTTATCGTTATAAGATACGTTTCGCGAATAAATAAAAGAGTATAACTAAGGAGAAGAATACTTTAGAAAAAAGAAATGAGCTTCTAAAGTAAAAGATATCGATAGCTATAATAGAAAGTAGAAATAAAACTTTCTACCCGAATCGAGAGAGAAAAAATATATTTAGTTCGCTAAACGTATTAGCTAAGTCTAAATTTAAGTAGAGAGAAAAATTAATATCCTCGTTTATTCCTAAGTGCTATAATTACTATAAGAAAGAGTATTTAGTACGGAATTACTTTAAAAAGAGTATAAAAAAATAAATATTAATGTGATAAACGTAGTTACCGCATTAGAGTATATTCAGTCTACGAGATACGGCGCATTAGAGCAACGCTATATAAGTATTTAAGTAATAATCCGAGTAAAGGGCGAGAAGTATTGATTACGAGCCCTTATAGACTGTGAGGCACAGTGTTAGACATAGCCTTGGAAGAGACCGGTCACGGGCTGCGAAGGCGCGGCTCAAGACACTCATTGGACAGATGGAAGGATCTACAAGGGAATAAGGCTGAACCACGTGATATGCCCTATTGGCTCTGTCGGCCCTATGGGCTCTGCCAGTAAAGCGCGCAGAGCGCACAGAGCGCACAGAGTATAAGCATTATATATACTCTCGTTTTCCCCTCCCCTAGATAGCTTACACTCTCTTCGTAGCTAACTTATATTAACTATTAAACTTATAGTTCTTAGTGATAAGTGACTTCTTATATCTTACGTTCTTTCTAATTAGTTTATACTATTAGAATTATTACTAGGAACCCTAATCTAGTTAGACCCCGGTAGGAACCTTAATACTTTAACTATTACTCTTATTGTGGAGAACGACCCCTATAAGTAGTTAAGAAAGACCCGACCGACTTATCTCGCTCATTAACGAACTAGCACGACGCACAGTACGACTATCTCTTAACGACACTATATCTACTACTATTAGTACTCCGAGATTAACACCGAGCACCTTAAGAACGATAACAACTATCGCCGCGCCAGTACTAGTGACTAAGAAAAAGATTAGTAACCCATCTAAGTCTTTTAACGACGTAGAATCTAAACTTATACTCTTTATTCACTACACGGATTTATATATTCTAATGAATCTTACTAACTTCTAGAATAACTTATAGAAAATACTCTTTATAGAAAGCTACTTCGAAGATAATATCGAGACTTAACTTAGACTCTTCGTTAAGAATTATATTAAGAATAAAGCGAATAATAGAGAGAACGAGATTATTAGTCTCTTCGCTACGTTTACGGAATTTAAGAAAATAATAAAACTAATATTCAAGACGAAAGATAAA